ATCGTCCCGATAACGGAAATTTATTAGTGTTTGTAATCACGATGCGTGTTAACAGAAGAGATTCTCCGGTACCGTTACGTAACCTCTCGTTAGCTGAGCAGGTGGAGGAGGAGGAGAAGTAAAACGTCGGCAGTTTGTAGATATTTTAACTTAAATCTGTTACTGTCAGAAAGAAGAAGGACATCTGAAGGATTTGTGAATATTTTTCAGGCCAAATCCCCCGAGAGTCCCCTTGGACTCCAGGAACTTGAATATTTAATGATCAATAATTTGAACAGTAACTGATAAAGCGGTTCCACTGTTTCAATCTCTGCCTGTGAACACATCCACCCTCCTCCTCCTCCTCCTCCTCCTCCTCACATTATCAGCGTGTTCTTTCACCACATGAAGCTGCCGCTCTGTCCGGTGGAAGGCAGGGCCGCTCCCGCCGCTCCCATGAACCCGGTGCCAACTCCTGATCACACGCCAAACCCACGTGACTAATTACGAGTCAGATGAGGGCACGCCGTGTCACGATCGCGCAGGAGAGCGTGGATGGACGGACAGTTGGGGCCATATGGGCGGCTGAGATTTTGGACTCCACTTGTCAAGAGGTTGTGGAAAGGAGGCCAGCCAAGACTGAGTCAAACCCTCAAGCCGGGAGCGCTTGGTTGTGTGTGTGTGGGGCGGGGGGGTCTTACGGATCAACCTGGACTGGGATCGTGTTGCCCGCCGCCATGTTCTGTGCAGCGAAGGTGAGGTTGTTGTGTGCTCCGTTCGTGCGGTTAGCTCCGGCTGTGATGGTGCACCAGGTGGATGCTGGGGGAAGGTGTGAGCGATCACGTGCGGCGACGCTCGTGTTTGACGCCTCGGGGTGAAACGCAGTCGTTCGAGATAACGACGTAGTAGCCACCAACCGACGCCGCCCTCTGCACGCTGTAAACGGTGGCGTCTGAGCATAAATATTCCAGCTGACGGTCCCTCCTCCGCACACCTTTATAACCCCGTCATTGATCTTAGACACAGAGAGGCTGCGTCTCATTGGCTGATGGTTTTCCCTCCCCCTCCTCCAGTCTCCCTCATAATTAGTCTTTTAAAGATCATCATTCAACCATTTTCATCAACCACCTCCTCCTCCTCTTCCTCCGCTCCCTCCTCCCTCACTATCTGCCTCTCTTGGGAGGGAGGTGTGGCAAGGATCATGTAAATAAATCCCCCTCCCCCCTTCCTCCTCTGTTTTTTACTCCCTTAACTCTCTCTCTCTCTTCTTCAATCGTTGGGTGAGGGGTTGAGGTGAGGTGGGAGTCTGGGGGGTGAGGCAGCATCCATCTCCTTGTAGCCTTCAACCTTAAAAACTCGTGTGACAGCAGCTTAACCGGAGGCTAGACTTTCGTCACGCTCCCACAGCTCGCCACCGATTCCCCTGCAACCCACCCCTCCCCTCCCTCCTCCTCACCCCCCGAACGCCACACTCCTCCTCCCTCCCCCCCTGCAGCGCGACTCCTCTCCACTCACTCTGTAGCTTGTGAGACTGAAGGCAGCCTCGGTGCGTGGAGGGAAAGACAGAGAGAGAGAGAGAGAGAGAGGAGAGAGAGTGAGGCTTTCCCAGAATAGAGAAGCAGGAGGAGGTGAGAGGCATGATGATGGAAGCCAGCTTTGACACTGAGGAGAGTTTTGACGATCCTTCCTGTCTCACCCCGCAGCCCCCCGGCTCGGTTTCGCCTGCCAGGCGGCAGATCAAGGAGGTCAAGGAGACCAAGATCACTGTGAGTATCCAGAAACTAAAATCTCCCATCTCCCATCTCTCTTTCTCTCTCTCTTCATCCTCTCTGTGAAGTTTTTCCTCCTTTTCCATCATCTGTTGACATCGTCTTCAAGCTCAAAATCATGATGCATTCTGGGTTCTGGTGGAGTAACATAAGGGGGGTTCCCTGCGTTTTACTGTGAATGAAGAAGCCGTGCAGGAGTCTCGCGCTCGCTGACTTTGACTGGCCTCGATCCACGAAAGCCCGTCAGCGTCAACGCTCAAAATCTCGCACATTTTTCCACTCGTACTTAAATGTTATCAAAGTGAGAGAAAAGTACATCGCTGCGCTCGCAGACCGCTCGCTGCTGGTATTTTTAGACCCGCGTAGTCTTCAGTCTGACAGATAAAAGGAAGATCTTGAGTGTTTTTGTCGTCGGGCTGTTGCTCAGCGTGACGCTGTATCCGCCGCTTTTTCAGTCTCAAAGGTCCTCCACGCCTGATCTGCAGGGCAGCGCGGGTCACACGGCACTGATGTTTGTCATTTGGGAAGTGGAGAGGAACTCCCCCCTCCCTCCCCACCTCCTTATTTTGCTCATAGTAGTGTCTGAAGAAGAGGAGGAATTAAATGTGCTCTTCTGTAAAGTGTCTTAAGATGCTCAGACAGGAGCTGCGGTTATGTAATCTCTCATAATGGAGGGGGGGAGGTGGTGATGAGGGTGAGGCAACCGTGGTGAGAGGAAGACAAGACAGACAGACAGACAGAGGTGGTTTTGTGTCTCTCGGAGGTGGCGGTTGAGGGGGGGGGACTCGCTGACCTGCTGCAGCCACGGGAGCCGTCAGTCTGCCTATTGTGAATAAAAAAACCCACCAGACCTGAGAGAGATGCAGCAAGTCCAGTTTCCATGGTGACAAAAGCAATAGCACTGATTAACGGGTGTTGAAATGGAAAACACTGGCAAAGGAGCAGGAGGGGGGGACGCCATTCAGACATACTGTTTGGAAAAAAAATGTTCCTCTTCAGTATTCAGGGTCTTTATGAAGACTGTGGTTCAGGTTGTGGAGGCATTTTAACTCAATTTTATATCTGAATTAGCTCCAAATAAACAGGATTAAAGAGTTTAGTGGAAATGAAGCCGCTAAAATGTGTAAATCTGAAATATTTCCGATGAAAACAGGAAAACAAACAACCCCACAGGTGTATAACGAAGCTGTTAGCAGCGGGTTTCGGATGATGTCAGTCCACCAATAAAAGGTGTCTTTTTGTTCTCCGCGGTGCACCTCACGTTACACAACCCCCTTCTACAGTTGTCATGGAGACGCACACATCCACGGCTGAGTGGCGAAAGCGGACCCCCCTCGCAGGACGCCGAGGCTGCTACACATCAGATCAGGAGAGGCAGCGAGCGCGTAACCTTGTTTTCACCTTCAGCGAGTGTGTGACCGTTAGTTTCCTCCGTGTGTGTGTGTGTGTGTGTGTGTTTTCCAGCTTATTAAACATTAAGTCACGTGCGGGTTTTGACTTGTTGCTACGCTAAGTGGGCTTTTTTGGCGGCTCGTTATGATCTGGTTTTGTTTCGTTGGCGGGAGACTCGGACGGTTGGGGAGGGGGGTGTTTTGATTGGTCATTAAAGGAAAGGAGAGAAGGAATGAGAGGAGAGAGGAAATCTGAGATTGTTTTGTTATGGGAAGGTGTGTGTGTGTATGTGTGGATCGATGGGGGGGGGGGTTCTTTTACAGCAAAAGTAATTTGTCGCTTAGCAACAGCAGCAGAGCATCTTACAGTCTCATTCTGCTCAGAAATGGATGTGAGGGAGGGAGGAAGTGGTTCAGTTGTTTGTTCGACTGCCAAAAACCATTATTTTTATGTCTCTCACGGCTCATTTCCTCTTCTACTGTGTCATGATTTTTATTTTTGTTTTTCCCGTATTCAGCAAAGCAAAAATAAATAAATAAATAAATAAAAGCATTAAAATGTGTAGTGAAACAACCGCCGCCTGCAGCCTCATGAGAGCGAATGTTTGAGTGCTGAGCGAGGAGAAAATGTCCCCAATTCTCCCGACAAATCGGTACAGTTTTTTTACGTCGCTCGCAGCTTCGTTTTGTGCTGAACTGAAACATCCGAGGAGGAAATATCGCAGCACGGCCCAGCGGCGAGACTTCAAACGGACGCACGGTGGTTTCAGGACCAGACGTTGTAAACATTCGAGGCTCAGCCCAGATCCTAAAGGGGGCCTGAGGACGTGGTCCCCTGAGATCCACCGTTTAGAGCAGATCGTTTATATATAAGCCAGTTAGAGTCTCAGCATCTCTTAATCCTCATTCCCAACTCAAACATGAACTGTTGAGGTAATAACTCAGTTTGTTCCATTGACTCATTTTCTTTAAGTTTGCTTTATATCATTATAAAAATGTAAAATAATGGCAAATGTGTTGATAACAGTTTATAAGAAGAGAGCAGGTTTCATTCATTTGTTTCCATCCAAACAACAAAGACGATATAAAATGTGTAGAAACAGCTGTTTGCATTGTTACGTATGGAAATTATGTTCAGAATATTATTATTATTTTTTTTTAAGTTATTTTTTTGGCCTTTTATTGCCTTTTTTTTTTATTGATACAGACAGCTGAAGATAGACAGGANNGCAAAGGGCTGCAGGTCGGATTTGAACTAAGGGGAAGTTTAAGTTACTTTAAAAGCCTAAAGGATTTGGGGCTTTAAAGAAAACATTCGTGGCTGCAGCCCCAGAAGAGTCAGTGGTTGGTTGGTGGCCAACAGATTTTAAAACCCCCAAAAAATCAATCATTTATAAATAGTGGAACAAAAAAAACCTACTTTCTGTTTCTGTTTTGAAAATAAAAACTAAAAACAGGAAGAAAATTGGCTGTTTTACGTTTTTATTCTTCTATTTATGATGGGTTCTTTTATGTTTTCACATTTCAAATGAAAACACCGTTGGCTGCACAGCACACTGATCCAGAAGCCTCCCCCCCACCCCTCCGCTCCGCCCCTGTTCAGCCCCCTCAGGAGGATTTATTACACACTGAGTCATAAAGCTAATCTGCATTAATATTTATTTCCCAACCACCGGAGTACCTCACTAAGAAGCCATAAAGGAGCGGTAAGTTGTCCAGACGGCCCTCCTTTTAGATAAATGGTCTCATTTTCTTCTGGATGTGAGAGGCAGATAAACAACAGTCATGATCGATGTGGAGCCGGTGTAATGGAAAATCTGGTGCCCGTGACAATCAGTATGATCTGTGAGGCAGAAAATGAACAAAGTGACTGGTCGGCGCTCTCCGCCGTTCCTCCAGATCACAGGACTGTTACTGTGAGTTAATGCGTCTCCTCTGTATTTATGCACGTCCGTCGTATCGGTACGAACGCTTGGCAAGTGGCCATATTGGTGTTTCCTCTGGGTTTTTTAGTGATTATATAACAGAGAAAGAGAGTATTACTCATCTGTTTTTGAAGTTGTTTATTGGAAGCCGTTCAGATCGAGTGCTGCAGAGAATGAGGAGGTCAATGTGGAGCCTTCATTCGGCTTTTTTTCCGCTCTGTGTGTTTCTAGCTACACAAGGGCGAGAGTTTTATGCAAAACTACAGACCTCCCATTATGAATCACACAGCGAGGCCGCAGCGGAGAGATGATTTACATTAAAGTCTTTTTTAAATAAATAAATAAATCAGATGTGTAACTTTGCAGCAATTCGCAGCTTTTTGTTTTGGTTGTGAAGCTGAAACACAGAGTTTAACACCGATTGTAGCTGCTGTTAGAGTGAATATCGGAGCGCTAATTTAGGAGATCTTTTCTGCATGCTGCAGTAAGACTGGATCCATCAGGGTGAGCAGAGTCGGGCTGGAGGTTGTTAACTCACACTGAACTCTGATCTCTATTTATTTATTTATTTATAGATGTCTACTAATTTCTCTGTCTATTTTCTTATTTCTCTATAAACGTGACTCCAAATGAGTGATAACGTGTCTCAGTGTTGCCTTTACAGCTTGATGTGCTGCCCATAAGTGCCCCAAAAAAGTAAACTAATGCAGGTTTAACTGCAGATTTACTCTAAATGGGAACCATAATTTACTAAATGAACATCATGCTGTATGGAAGAAGAGTTGAAACTAGAGATTGAGACCATAAACTCATCAGGAAACTGTTTACTGAGCTCATAAATCAACTGAGAAGTCGACTAATTTCTACATAAGA